CCTTATTTTTGTGTCAGCTGTCTGGCCCCTTTCAAACTGGTTGAGGATTAATGGTACTTGACCAAGTATTGGCTAATGCATATTGGAAGTGTGCTTAAGATGGTGACAGGGATGCATTTCTGCAGCATGGCTTCATGTGTGTGTGACATTGGTTTCACTGAACACATGGCTGGGTCTCTTATGCTCAGTTAAGCAAGCTGTGGCTCCTTGCAACCCCACACTAGCATTAACTACTGGGTTGTTGCTACAGTGAGTGGCTCATGGGAACCCCTGCTGGCAGTCTGTGGGAAATGTGGTTACAATGTGGATCAAGGCCCTGGACAGCTGCGTATCACTGTTCCCTTTACCACACCCTGTGTGGGGCTGATGGTAAGCTGTACTATTCATTATGATGACTTCATCATTAATGGGTTTACTGGGGGGGGGGCACTGTTAGCTGGCAAGTGTGGTGACAAGGCTGAAATGGTCATGCTTAACCTTGACAGGACAGACAAGGTGCCAGACCTTCTGAAAGTAGTAAGCATAGAATTTGCTGCAGTAAACGCAAGGCACGCATTTCATTAGATGCAGTAGCTTCTAGCCTGCAGTTGTCGGCTACTGAAACTGATGGTTTCGTACATTACTGCTTTTTGGCAATCTGGCCATGTAATGTTTTCTGAAGTCTTCTATTCAGTACCCAATCCTGGCACAATGAAGCATCAAAATGAATTTCTAAATGCTCATGTGTAATCCTGTGCTTGGGAATGTAAGGATGTTCCCACAGGGAGTGGCAAATGAGATGCAGGCAATAGTTTCTCCCATAGTTGATGTATGTACTAGATCAATTAGGCAAGAGAAGCACTTGCACATGGTTTCTTGACATGGAGCCAGAAGTGTCAAACCCTGTGTGTCCTAGATGTAGAACAAATGTACTGTAATTGCCTAAACTACACTGGTTTTCTCCTAGGACTCGGGCCCCTCCTTGAGGCTGCGCTCTGCGGGTGAAGAGATGACCCTGGTGTGCCCTTTGACAAGTACCCCTACTCCAGCTACACCTTTGCTGTATTTCCCATACTATACCATTACTACTCCAGCACCTACCACTGTCCCATATCCTAAAATTCCTGCATTCTACCCATGGTTTCCTTTTAGCTTAAAAGCTCCAGTTACAACTGTTGCTCCCACTGCACGTCCACCTGTGTATCCCCTGTTTGCTCCCTATCCCATCCCTTACTACCCAGTTACCCCAAAGCCGCCTACTACTGCCTCCAAATACCAATTGTACCCAAAACCCTTTCAATTCTGGTATCCCATGATGGGTCCAACTACCCCTAAGCCTACTACTGCCTCCAAATACCAGTTGTACCAAAACCCCTTTCAATTCTGGTATCCCATGATGGGTCCAACTACCCCTAAGCCTACTCCTGCCTCCAAATACCAGTTGTACCCAAACCCCTTTCAATTCTGGTATCCCATGATGGGTCCAACTACCCCTAAGCCTACTCCTGCCTCCAAATACCAGTTGTACCCAAACCCCATTAAATTCTGGTATCCCATGATGGGTCCAACTACCCCTAAGCCTACCACAGCTACCTCCAAATACCAGTTGTACCAAAACCCCTTTCAATTCTGGTATCCCAAAATGCGTCCAACTACCCCTCAACCTACCACAGCTACCTCCAAATACCAGTTGTACCCAAACCCTTATCCCTTCTGGGCTCTTAAGAGCCCTGTAATTGATCCAGCTACCCCCAAACCCATTACTGCTGGCTGCAGTTAACAATTTTACCAAATCCCCTACTGAATTTTCTAGTATCCTATGGTCAAGACCTACTGCCACTTCCCCTAAATCCCCTCAGCTAGTCCACTCTAATCAATGTTCCAAAGTGCCTTCTGTAAGACTGCTACCCCACTACCACCCACTGCAATCTCTGCTAGGCTTTTTCCCACAGCTTGCCTGAGCAGCTGTGAACCTTAAATGGAATGTGGTTTATATTCAACTGCTATTGTTACTCTGCTTTAAATACTTGTAAATATTTGGGGAAAATTAAGATTTGCATCAAATTGAATGGAGTACATCCCAGCTACCATTTCATATGAAATGCTTTCCAGCTGTCAAATTGTGTGTTGCTGAATAAAATTGGTGATATTTAACTTGAGTGGATTATTTGAAGTGGTACCATCACACTTCCTTTGTAGCACTCAAATCCAGCATTCACTTTTTGGGACAACTAGATGGTGCATAGGAGAAACTTGCATGACTTGTACAAGTAACCTAAACTTACAGGTTCTTGGCCATTAATTGTTGGATATGCTTCATCTTGAATAGAACTACATTGTTGATCAAACTTGGTAAAATCCAAATTTAATTGGTTTAGACCTAAAGGGTCTTCATTTCAAGCAGAACAATCTGTGAGACACTAGTAGTCACAGGATGTTATGCACTATCCTAGAGACTACTAGAAACCCTCCAAATACATAAAATAACTATTTTAGTAACATAATAGACTCCCTAACCGTATAGCAACCACAACCTGGTCCGACTGGTAATGACCGTAAGCCAGACTCCCGTTGGCTGCCTCAATTAGTTAGTCGCATTCCCAACACTGGGCAGCATCAGAGAAGTTTAGGACCACATGCCTTTAAAAGGCCAAATCTGTGCAAAGATGTGGATTCATTGTCATTTTCTGTCAGGTAGTCACACTGTCATGACGTTCTGATGACAAAGGCAAAAAATCTCTCCCTTTTTGAATGTGGTCGGGTTGTTGAACTGCATAAGCAGGGTCTCCTAAACTTTTGATCAGCTGTAAAATAGCCTGTTTCAGTTTAAGTGTTTTCAATAAATTGCATGCTCAAAAATGTTTTGTCTCCCATTTCTTCTTGTTGCATGTTGAAGCTCTACTTGGAACCTTAAGACCCAACCATACAAAATATGATTTTTTTGCCATTTTTCAAGTGGTCTTAAACTTTTGATCGGGACTGTATCTGTGGCTCCATTTGGCCCATTGTCTTGCAGACAACTCCAAGTCCACGCTGTATTTGTTTCAGAGGGGAAGATGGCTTGGCTATGGCCACCTATGGATATTGTCGGGATTGTAAAGCGTATGCTCCGTTTTAGCGGATCACACTTCAGGTAGGAGGTAAGTTGAACAGAACAATTTACTTGAACTAAAATTGCATTTTTATTACCAAATCTCTGCTGGTGTTTAATAAGGTATCTTATCTAAAGCAGAGAATCTGGTATATCCTCCTGAGACCCAAGGAAAAAAGTGTCCTTCAATTTTAGGTTATTTGTCTTTGGAGGAAATAAGACATCTTACAATTTAGATTTTTTCAAATTTATTTTTATTTTTAATTTCACAGCATGTCCTCTTTAGTGTACA